AAGGCTTCATCAATCATACCTCCTCAGGAATCGATGTCTATAGAAAATCCAAACGACACAACCAATTCCCCATAATCCAACAATTAGCTCTTCTACTATTTCTTCTTCAAGAGTTCAAGTTAATCAATTTATTCCTCCTTTTTTTTTATTTACTGAATTCGTATAATCTACCACCAAAATGACCGAACCATACTGATTCGTGACAAATCGAGAGTCGTTGAATAAAATTTTATTTTAGAAACGGTAGTCTAATTATTTCTCCTTTTTCACGATTTTAGAAAACTGAAACTCGATTCTTTTGTATCCTTCTTATTTATGCTTTCTTCCTTTTTTTCTCTTGAAATGGCACTGTTGAATGGGAAATTATTTTATTTATTTTCTGAATCAAAACTTCTAGCGATTATAATCAAGAGCTATAGTTGCTACAACGCTGCCTAAGTTCGATAATTCGATTTCTTTCTCAATTGCCAGAAATTTTGATTCATACATAATCGAGGATTGTAGACAAAATTGACTTATGATAATCTGATTTTGAATATGTGTATGTTCTAGCCTACTAGAAATCTCTTTTTCTCTTGTGAAATTTGATTTTGTATGAAATTGTGAAAGCTAGAGAAGAAATCGACTTTTAATCTGTTTAAATTAGAGACATTCTTGAACTTAATTTTCTTGTTTATGTTTTCTGAATGTTAATCTTCGGAATTTCTATTTCTCTATATTTCAGGAATCAAGATTTTATGTTGTATTGTGCATTTTTCAACTGCATTATTAACAAAACAACCAACAACAAAGTTAGCACTAATATTTTTTTAGTTAATCTAATTGTTAATATGTTATTACCTATTTCTATCTAATATGCATCAAAAAGCCCCTTAATGTAACTTTCTTTATTTTTTCTTTGCTACCTTTTTGTATTAAGGTTCATTGTATGTTCTGTGTTCCTGCATTTTTTTCTATATTAATAGTTGTAATGTTTGTTTGGCTTTTGGGGCTTGTCCCGAAGCATTTTTCTTTTTCATAGGTTCGGAGTCCCTAGCTTGTAATTACATTGTTTATTTCTAATTAACCAAATATTTTGAGGTGTTGTCTTTCTTTACAAAATAAAGTTATAAGGGCCCCATTTTTTCTTATCGCCCCAGGCCTCAAATTGTCTTGGATCGGCCCTGCCAGTAGACAGGTACACTGGATCAGATTTTGAGAAAATGGTGCATGTTCAACACTCGTCTTTTATTTTGATATAATTTTTGGTGTCTTACAACTACACATAGAACACACATGTATACACTATATTATTAATGCAATGGATATTGTTGCTTGTTTTACTATTGTGCATTATTATGATACTATACATGATGTCATCCACCCCCGAATTATATTGTTATCATAGGTTCAGAGTCCCTAGCTTGTAATTATATTGTTTATTTCTAATTAACCAAATATTTTGAGGTGTTGTCTTTCTTTACAAAAAAAGTTATAAGGGCCCCATTTTTTCTTATCGCCCCAGGCCTCAAATTGTGTTGGACCGGCCCTGCCAGTAGACAGGTACACTAGATCATATTTTGAGAAGATGGTGCATGTTCAAGACTCGTCTTTTATTTTGATATAATTTTTGGTGTCTTACAACTACACATAGAACACACATGTATAAACTATATTATTAATGTAATGGATATTGTTGCTTGTTTTACTATTGTGCATTGTTATGATACTATACATGATGTCCTCCACCCCCGAATTTTTATGCCATCTCGGTTTGGGGGTGTGACACATTTCCATACACCGCAGTAGTTAATTTTAAATTTACCATAAGCTGGATTTCTTCAATTTCAAGCCTTTGTAGTGATGCTATAGCATAATCACAAGGTATACCGCATTTTTTCCATTTCCCGCAAGTACAAATCCTATGCTCTAATTGCATGGATTTAGTGGTTAAATATTTACTCGCTTCATATATGTCACCAACAATATACCTAACCCTACAACCATCGGAGTGGATAAATCTTTTTTAAATAACCTTAAGTGCATAAGGGGTCAGAAGACCATGAAATTAACTGAATCATCAAATAAAAATTATGATGTGATAATGTATAATAACATTGTATTATTACCTCTGAACGCAGCATATTGAACATACACTCCTTACATGGAGTCATGGACCATTTGAATGATTGTCATTATTGGTAATGCATGCCTTTTTGTTCTTATCCAATTGAAGACATCGGGAATGTCACTGAATTTCACATTAAAACATACTTTAGGGAAAAAAAACTCATACCCATTTTGCAATGGCAATATTGTCAAGCTAGTGAAGATCTTTCCCATTCACCTCAGTTTGTAAGATGTTTAAACTCACATAAAAATTAGACACATTATACGTTTTGCATGTCTTCCAGAACAACTGTTCCACAACTATATTGTTTTCGGTGGAAGCTCGTATTTTCTCAGCTACATTTTTACTACAATAGCCATGATATTAATTAGGGTAAACTCTACGAACTACAAAGTCTATGGAATCAAACATATGGTTTATGAAACCAACTTCCTTCCTGTCACCTAAACATTCTTTCAGCCTCCTCATGAACCATACCCATGACTCGTCACGGTTTATGGTTCCAAAGCAAATACTATGAGAAGGCATGATTTCCATCAAAAGCAACTACAATGTATATGGATGTTATGTACGTCCCAATTAGAAGTACGTGACCAACGAATATGATTGGTATCATAGACGTTAGAAACGTACGAATCTGCAAGTAAAGATAATAATATTAGTCATATAACAACTTCAAATAACAAAAAATTTAGTATAAGAATTACATACCACGCATCCCAATGCCACAAAACAGAATTGGAAACGATTGTACGAATCTTTCTTAATGTACGTGAAGGTGTTAGGATTGGTTCTTTGCAAATTATGAAAGAAAATTGGTAGGTTGGAGAAACCTTTTTAATACATCATTCAATGAACTCATTTTCACAACTTCTAGCAACTTCTACAAAATTGAAAATGGTTGTCGAATTTACACGAACTCTGTATTCATTATTCCGCAGAGCTATTTAGGAATCCGCATAGCTGTTTGGGAATAAACAAACTTGTTTGCCAGTGCGCATAACTGTTTGGGAATTTGTAGAGCTGTTTGTCATTCAACGGAGCTGTTTGTGAGTCCGCAAAGTTGTTTGTCAATCCACAGAGCTGTTTTTCAGTCCTCAGAGGTTATTGTCAGTCTGCAGATCTATTTCTCATTTCATAGAGCTATTTATCAGTCTTCAAAGTTGTTTCTCATTCCGCAAAGCCAACTAACAATCGTTTTTATTATTTAACTAATCATTTATGCTTTAATAAACTCACACCTTTATTCTGAAAGGGCCTGCAATGTATCAACTTCTTCAAATGCAGCGACATCGTCCGATGCTCTACGTCCATGGACGAGGTGATGGTCCTAATATGATGTTGGACGAACGTGTACGATGGTGTAACACCAATAGCTCTCCCACATTACATTATAGGTGATGAATGGACCCGCATAACAAGTTTGTTCAACCATGAGATAGGAGAAGGACAACACCGACTTAAAGAATATATTGTTAGTAAGTTGATGGAATTAAAGGAAAAAATCACATTGTTCAATCGATGATATAATCATGTTAAACATAGGCTATATTATTACACAGACGATGAAGAACTTTTACAAGTTGTTAAAGAGCATTACATGATGGAGCATGATGGAAATGCGTTCAAATATGAGAATGTTTGAATGTGGTTTAAAAAACCAGTATTTCATGTAGATGGTAATGTTTTATGTGTAATGTTTATTATTGCTTTATCTTATTATTTGTAAGGTTTGTGTTTCATGTTTCTATGTATTTATAGTGTTTGTAGTTTCTATTCACCGGAGTAAAGTAGAAAATCACTCAACTTATGTCGTAAATAACGTAATAAAAACCAAATATATCTAAATAACCTTAAAATAACCAAATACATCTAAATAACCTAATAAAAATCAAGTACATAAAAATAACCTACTAAAAACGTAATACACATTAATAATACGGGAGATCTTTTATAAGCTTCCAAAAGCTTTCATACTCGAATTCCGACTTGTTGCTAATGGATTTATATTCCTCTTTCACCGCCTTCAAGATCACTTCTCATCTTCATTCAGTCGTGCGTCATCAATTTTGTTATAAAGATTGTTGAATAACAAAATTTGTGTTTTTACTTAATACCATTTTGCTATGATATGAACGGTGTTACGATAGTTTCCTGTAGCGCTTTGAGGATCAACGTTGAATGTATAAGTTAAACATGTCCAAAAACATGGGTCTTCCGCAACGCTCCATGATCTGGAACCCATTGTGAGTGGAAATATGAGGGGTAGTTTTTTAAAATAATGAATCGAAGAAAGAGTACAGAGTAGATGAAATTATACGCATTCTAAAATCATTTTATACTAAAATCCTTACTGATAAAACCGTAATTTTAATATAATAAAATATTTCTACTACGGAACGAACATTATTTGATATAGAGTAGATGAACTACTACTGTGAAATTAACCGTACTTTGCTTCAGAGGTAATGAAATAGTAATACAAAAATTTGTTGAAATACTAAATTTTTTTTTTATTTTATGAAACAGTACTTCATAATAAACACATTTTTAAATAAACTTTATTATTCCGATCAAAACTTTCATGTCCTAAGCTATTTTCTAAAAAGTCCAAAAACGCGTTTGGCTGTTAGTTGTTACCGATCCAGAAGCTGCCATTAACGGTATGAGATTCACATTATTGTTTTTTTTTAAGAATAAGCAGCCGTTAACGGTCTAAAAGCAACGACACAACGTTCCAATTGTCAAAAATCAACGGCTTAATTTCGTCAAAGTCAAAATAACAATCAACACGTCAAAAGTCAATACATTTTCAAGATGCCACCCACCCATATAAATCGGTTTCAATTCAAGCCAAGATCATCGACACACTTTGCTTCATCGTTAATTCATGATCATCAGGAAAGATAATAACACCGCCATGGCCAGCCTTCAACACCCTTCTCCAGTAAGAAGATCCTCGATTTCCGGTGAAAAGTACAGGGATTTGCTCAACGACTTGCCGTCACCATCGCCGAGGATTCGCCGGTTGAATTCGTCGCTGGTTCGGAGGAATAGTAGTCGAGAGATGGTGGTGCCCAGACGGCGGCGTGCCAGTAAAGAGATTGTGAGGAGGGCGTTGACGCCTCCTGCTCGGAAGCTCATCAGACGGTGGTTCGATTTTAGGCCGACACCTAGCCGGCTTTCAGTTATGTCCATGGCTGCCTAGAAATTTTTTGTAATCGTTGATGAAATTAGATCCGTGTTTTTAATCGGTTTCAGATCTTTTTTTCTCTATAAAAATTTATTCATTCCTTTATCTATCTGTCCAATTTGCTTGAATTTCACCTCAGATTTCCTGCGAATTTTGATTTTTTTTTTTTCTTTGACTATATCGCCGCCGAAAGAAACATGACGTCGCCGATGAAAACCCACCTTCAAAAAACAATCTCCCCTGACTACCACCAGACCCACCATCGAATTCGGCGGTGGCAAGGGAACACGGTCAACGTGATTCTTCATCTTCCGGTGAAAACTTTAACCGACTACTGTTTAAGACTCGATCTTAAGTTCTTAACTCGCCGGTTCAATTGATTGATTTACGTTTAAAATTTAACCGAATAGCATATCAATGTTCTTAAGGAAAGTTTCCTAAAATAATAATTTAAAGAAGATTTTTCGTTCTTATATTGCATAGTGTTTTTCTTACGTAGTTAAGAAGTTATGAAGCAACAACAGACAACCTATCTGCTTATCGAATTTATAATCATCGACTGTAAAACGTTCAAAATATTCAAGATATTTGAACTCAATAATTTTATTATATGTTAAATAAGAAATATATTCTTATTTAGGAATCTTTCATTAAATTTTGACCTCATTTGGCCGTGTCCTTTTCAAGGGTTTCATTGTTGCCCGAACGGTGAAGTATGCGGTAAAGGGATTTCTCGTATCATTTCTCGTATCAAGAGCTTGCACCTCCCTTTGGATGAGCGTAGAACTATGTTGCGAGAAGCTATTTCTTTAGACATTTGACTGTTTATGTCAGTAGCAACAATATTGAAGGAGCTTGGTCAATGGATATGTGGGGATTGTATGAGTCTACATGCCCTAAGTCGCTCGTGTTGCCACTCAGATCGTCTTGTTAAATTTAATGGCGAGGTTGATGACATGAGCGGACATATTGTTTGTATTCAAAACCTGCCACCCAATGAACCAAAGGCCAACCTTAATAAGGGGTTGGGGTTGGTGTTGGATGCTCAACTCATTGATCTTGTGTTTAAGCTACCTATCACCATCATTAAAAGCATCCCTCATAATTGTCTTATGGGTTTCTCTAAGGCTTTGAAAGCAACCTTTTCCAAGGTGTCTGCTCATCTTGGATCTGTTGAAGTATAGGTTATACTGTTAATTCTTCTTACTTCCTAAGTGTACTCTTCTGGTGTTTAGGCCTAAGAATAGGCAAGAAAGTAGGTTTGGTGTAACGCCTGATTTCTGGTATGAAATTATTTCCATTTATTTGCATTTTTCTTGGAGGACTCGTCGAGTTGGAAGCCTAAACTTGACGTGTCAAAGTTGTTTTGGCTTCGAAATTTAATGATGTGACATCTCCATTTTAATGGCCAGAAAAGACCGATTTTGTTTATGCTTTATAAAAATCATAGTACTACTTTTAATAAAATGTTGCGGAATTTGTTCGTAGTAAAACATGATAAATACGCTATCAAAGCATTTCCGAAAAAAAATATTTTTATTAATTTCAAAACATTTGGGATGTCATCGTCAATACATAAACATAAGCATAAATAGAACTTACATTCATTATCACTTGTGATTTATATCTCATTAATCTCTCAGTGTAATGTGAGTTCATATCAACATCTGTGATATAAATAAACTGAGTGGGTCAGGTTGGGAAACCTGATGAGTACATAGGGTTTTCAACCTACAATAATATAATTGTTATGTTTAATCATCAAACAATTGACTCAATTACCCATCCCCAATATCTTATTTACTCTTAAGGATCTACCCTCATAATCAGCTATTTCTTGTTCCTTCATTCCTAAGGATCATCCTAAGGAATCGGCACTAAATCCATTGTTGTCAGGGTTTTCTCAACGGGCACTAAATCCATAGTTACCAAGGTTTGCTCAATAGGCGCTAACTCCATAGTCGTCGGGGTTTATTCAATAGGCGCTAACTCCATAGTTGCCGAGGTTTATCTCATTTATTGACAGTATCATTTTCGAGAGTCCACTCGCAATACATGTCAATGGGTTTTTAGAGTACACTGGTGAACATCAAGTTCACAACACCTACAAGTTGCGAGCCTGTTAGTGTTCCACTAGACTGTCTAGAATAGTCTATAGTTGTCATCCCTACTCTGCTGAATGACGGGGCCATTGCTTGGGTAAAGGTTTTACTCATTTTTCACCTATCACCCTCATCTCAAGATATATATCACCTTTTATTTCATTATCCAACTCATCTTTTATCACACACCAACTATCTCTTCTACTCATGTTCTACCCAACATATTTGTAGATATAAAATAAATATACAGTTTAACTCATTTAAAAACTATATAAAACATCCATTCCACACTCATCTCATATAAACAACAATATATAAACACATAGCACATTTTTCATAGCAAATACTTCATATTTATGTGTTGGAAGAAAGTGACTACACACTCACTTGATAAGACGGTGATCGGACAGCACTACTTCTCTCCAAGTAGTAATTCTTCGGTGAAACCGGGATATCTTCACACATCGGGCTTCTCGCGGGTAGAGCTTCGGTTAGAAAACTCTTTTCTTCTCGGGATCTTTGGAGCGTCGGGACTTTCTTCGGGTGTTGGGGTAATATCGGGTCTTCAGGAGTGCTTCCAGATGGCTTATAGAGGGTATAAAGAGTGACAGAGTAAGAAAGTAGCAACCAAAACCGGCTGCCCTTCGATTCTATTTATAGGGCCGATTTTTCAATTTCCACGTCGTGTACCATCAGTTCATGTCGTGACCTTCAACATCATCAGGTGCGTAGTCGCAACTTGGGTCTGACAGGCTCAGAAGGGTCACATCACTGAGTTCACATCGTGAACCCACTGTTCACGTCGTAAACCCTGACACAAGGTTGGGGTTCATGCCCGAACTTTAGAAAATCATATCTTTCGCATACGAGCTCCGTTTTCGACGTTCTTTACATCCACGCGTAGGCGAGATTATGCTCTACAACTCTCGTTTAAACTTCGTTGGCTAATTTTGACTTTAATTTTATTATATTATTTTTAGTAGGCTGGGACAGGAAAAGTCCGCTACTAAATCATAACTTCTTCATCCGACGTCTGTTTTTCGTCTGTCTTTTTACCGTTAAACTACTATTAACGAGATCTTTGATTCTCGTTTATATTCTTTCGACCAGAAACCAATCAATCTCATATGCGAAGTTAGATTTAGACGTTCTATTTATACACACTCTCGGTTTAACGTATTCTACGACTTTTGTTTATATCGTTAAGGAAAAATATCGCTCTCTCGTAAATTCGCTATTTACATCACATTGTGTCGTGCCGGTTTTGTCGCGAAACTTCGACAGGTCATAACTTCTTCGTTATAACTTTTCGGCATTCTTTATATATCCGGAATCCTTGTCACGACCACTACAACTTTGTTAAGATTATTCATTCTAAATAATCTTCTATCAAAAAGTAATTTTTGATTCTCATTGTCTCTGAATTCACTAGCCCTGATCTACGATCGTTACAAATGAGTCTACTCGACGACTTGAGGTGCCTCGACTCGGCAAGTTGGCAGCTAGGAAAGAAACCCTAATTTTAGGGTGTTACACCCTATTTAATCACTTTAAGTCCCAAGTGTTGGCCTCATTTCTAGCCTCCATTTCCCCTAACCCTAATCTCGAAACCCTAGAGCCTCCTTGAGTGTTGTGAGCTCATTGTGGGTGGGTTTTGGTGTATTTGAAGCTCATTGAAGGAAGAGAAGCTTGGTGCAAGATGGTGGTTCAAGTATGAGCTTTCGGATCTTGATATCTACTCCATTTTCAGCACATTTTGGGTATAAAGTTCTAACCTTGCTTAGTATTTGCTTAGATCTCTTTTTGGGTTAGTTTGTATGCTTTTAGCCATGTTTGGGTGGTTGATGGGTAAGTAGAATGTCCCAAGTGTTTAATCTTTTAGATCTATGATCTTCATGAGCTCTTTTGGCGTAAAGGTGCCAACTTTATGGTATTAAGGGCTTCATGCATTCATTAAGTCCTTATTATGGCTTCTTTTGCGTATTTGAGCTTCTCATAGTCATGCATGAGAGTAAATTTGGAAACTTTACATAACCTTTCAACTTTTAGGGCTATATCTGGAGTTTGGGGTTATGCCTTTGGTGATTGAGTGCTTAATGGTTAAGTCCTTACCCTTTTAAGCCTAGGGTTTGGGTTTTCAACCAATTTTGGTGGTTCTTAGGGGTAAAGTTGGAAACTTTACCCTTCTAGATGTCATTTTCTGTTAAGATCTGAATTGTGAAGCTCTTAGTTCGTTAAGGTTGGCTTAATGAATTAAGATGTTGGGTTTCTGTCGAATTTGGCGAGTTTCTGGATAAAGTTGACAAGTTGGATTGGTTTCTTCCTAACTTTTCGGACTAATGGAGAAACTCAACAAGTTAAAGGACAACTAGGCGAGTTGAGTCAAGTTGTAACATTTTGTTTAAAATTAATTAAATAAATAATAAACTCAGAGCTCCAAGGTGTAAATTTATAATTTATATTATTTTATAATGGCCCTAAAACCAATAATATTTAGCGGAGAGTTGGTTTCAGGGAGCCAAATGATATATTTTAGACTTTCGGAGGTCAAAGTGTAATTTCCGGATGTATTTTGTAATGATTTTTAGAAGTTAGGGTGTGTTTGGTAAGTATTGGACTTAATTTGAAGAGATTTTGGAGGCTTAGGGGCTGTTTGGTAACTTTCAGACTTAAAATGAAAAGAATTGTGGGAACAGGGCTATGAAAAGTAATTTATGGGCCTTGCTTTGAAAAGATGTTTATAGGGAGGGACCATTTCATCCATTATGGCAATATATTTCATGGTGTCGGTTATATATAAACCTTATGAAACCCTAACCCTAGGAAGGATAACAGCCGCCACCCTATCCACCCTCCCTTTCTTTCGGCCACCACCAGCACCCCCCCCCCCTTCACTCCCATTTCGGATTAGCA